TATATTTGGATGCTTGGCAACGGATTCATATTTATGATGGTCACAGTGTCCCAGGGTCACGTGATCCCCTTTTGCAACCTTTTGACAAGCAAAGTCATTGGCAGGTGGCCAAGTGCTAAGGCGGGACTTCCCTCCCTCCTTCCCTGCCTCCCTCTTTCTCATTCCCATCTCCTTCTGAAGGAAGAATTTGAACCCCCCCTATTTCCCCTCTTCTATATATTTATCAAACAAGGAAAAGCCTCCAGAGACAGAAAAGACAAGCCATTGAGGGAACTAGCTAGAAAGGAAAGTTAAGGAGCGCAGTGGGCACTTAAGGAAGAAAAATAAATGTAGTAAGTACAGCTGCTGGCTAAGGCAGCCTCTCCAAATGGCTCCATTCATAAGTAAAGGAATGCTACAGGCAAAATCCATTCAGGAGAAAAATACTTCAAAATCCCTTGCAGCAAAACTTACAGCTAACAGTTACAGAGCAGTAGAAGCTAACCTGAGACATCAACCATCAGCCAAACATTCCTTAAGAACACAAAACCCCCATTGCACAAATCCCAGAACTTCAAAGTCACAAAAGCACATAAGAATCCTTCCACTCTCCATCTCCCTCCATTATTCACCTCCAGCCTGTGCTGCCTTTCTTCATTGCTGCCTTTCTTCATTGCTGCCTTTCTTCATTCCTCATGGAGGGCAAACCCTCCTCCCTTCGTTCCTTGCCTCTTGGTTGCTGCCAGCACAGGTGGCTGCCACAGAAGTTGTAGATCCACTTGTGGCCGGCCTGCTTGATTTCCTCTCCTCTCCCACCACCCTCCTCCTTCTTTCCATTCCGTGAAGCTAGAGCTGACTCCTCCTCCTCCCAAGGCTGCTTCTTTTTCTCTCTCTTCTTCTCCCGGCCCAAACTGCCTCCTTTTATAGCCTCTCCTATCTCCCCCTTTCTCATGGGGGTATTTATACCTGTTGGACTTGTGCAATTTGATGATGGAAACTGATCCCAACCAGGAATGATTTATGTTTTTCCATCTTTCAGGATCCCATTTAATTTCATGCTGCAATTTGGTTTGGAAATGACTTAAAACAAATAATATTTTCAGGAGTGAAAAGGGATCTAGGCCTGAACTAACCAACTTGGTCTCCTGTTCTGGCCCCTCCTGTGTCTCCCCCATGTCCCTCCTCCCCTCCAGCCAAGCCCACCGTCTCCATCTCC